GCAAAATTTAAATGAAATCGATCCAAAATCGATTAAATCGATTTTTTTACCCAGCCCTAGTATTAAGACATATATATGTACAAATAGTGTGCTTGGAAAGATGATGTGTGTTTGTTTGTCCTGCAAAAAAGTATTTTCTATATAATCAACTTCAGAACTTCATATTGTTGTTGTTGTTTTTTTTCAGGAACAAACACATCATGATTGATTTGGGCACCGGTAATAACAACAAGATCAACTGGACAATGGAGGACAAGCAGGAGATGATAGACATTGTTGAAACAGTGTACCGAGGAGCAAGAAAAGGAAGAGGTCTGGTGGTGTCTCCAAAGGATTATTCTACGAAATACAGATATTGATTTTTATTTTTGTCCTCCAGCAGTTGTTTTTCTTGTATGATATTTTGTGACCTGAAACAGAGACTACAAGTTACAGAAGTCAAGGAAGATCTTTTTCCTCTTTTTCAACATTTTCGTTTTTGCCAGTGAAACAGAACAATATTCTTATTATTGGTCACCATTGTGTTACTTTGTGCCATTTGTGTGTAGATTGAAGTTTTATTCAGTTTCTTCATCAAAAAGTTGTCTTTTTTTCTTGAAAACCCTAATCCTAATAAACATGGATGGTTTTTTACATAAGTGTTTCATGGTAGCTGTGTGGTTGCTTATAATAAGACTTGGTGTATTTTGGGGATTTAGTCAAACTCAACAAAACTAGAGCTAAACAGTTTATAGTGACTGCTCCTGATTTGATTCATGTAACGTTAGTTTGGAATTTGTTGCACATACATGGTACAGGACATTGTGGTGATATTGGAGGCTGTTGAACGTAGCCACCCACAAATAATCCTTGAGAGAAACTCCCTGCCCACAGTGGTTTAGTAATATAATAAACAGCGTCAGAGATGTAGATTCAACTTGGTCATGTTGGAGAGCTTTTGTGCTATATTATGTTTGTTTACTGTTGTTAGTTTTGATACCAATGGTTGAGATCAGGAACTACCAAAAGAGCTTGAGAACATTTATTGAACTGACAGTCAAAAGCCTCAAACTGTATACTGACCTAAAATAACAAAGGAAAGTGGCATAAAAACATATATTTATTAATATTCAGTGATTTAATTCCATTGATTCTAGAAAAATATTCAGTTTTATTTAAATAGATCCCCTTTCAAACCTGACAATGTCAAGGCCTGAAGCCAGAGAGTGTATTTCCCTAAAATGTCCATCGGGTGGAGCCAGAGATGTTTGGCAGTGTCACAGTCTGCTGATTGCTGATTTGATACGGAAGATGCAGATTGCTTATTTACCACCTCATTACATCAGTTTAGTTAAACGAATTTGTTTGTAAGGGACAATGTACAAAAACATTAAAAATTACAACCTAATTTCCATCTGCAGTCCATGGGAAGGTAGACACAAACACTTAATACCACTAATGCAATTAATACAAATACAA